CACTTTCAAAATAACAGAAAACAAAAAAATGGCGTCTGCAAAAGTTTGGGCACCCTTCAGAATTTATAGCATGCACTGCCCCCTTTGCCAAGCTGAGACCTGCCAGTGTCATGGATTGTTCTCAATCATCATCTGGGAACACCAGGTGATGTCATTCTCAAAGGTTTTAAATGCCGAGACTCATCTGACCTTGCCCCAACAATCAACACCATGGGTTCTTCTAAGCAGTTGTCTAGAAAACTGAAACTGAAAATAGTTGACGCTCACAAAGCTGGAGAAGGCTATAAGAAGATAGCAAAGCATTTTCAGATGTCAATATCCTCTGTTCGGAATGTAATTAAGAAATGACAGTCATCAGGAACAGTGGAAGTTAAAGCAAGATCTGGAAGACCAAGAATAATATCAGACAGAACAGCTCGCAGGATTGTGAGAAAAACAATTCAAAACCCACGTTTGACTACATGATCCCTCCAGAAAGATCCGGCAGACACTGGAGTTGTGGTACACTATTCCACTATAAAGAGATACTTGTACAAATATGGTCTTCATGGAAGAGTCATCAGAAGAAAACCTCTTCTACGTCCTCACCACAAAAATCATCGTTTGAACTTTGCAAATGAACATATAGACAAGCCTGATGCATTTTGGAAACAAGTTCTGTGGACCGATGAGGTTAAAATTGAACTTTTTGGCCGGAATGAGCAAAGGTACGTTTGGAGAAGAAGGGGCACAGAATTTAATGAAAAGAACCTCTGTCCAACTGTTAAGCATGGGGTTGGATCAATCATGCTTTGGGGTTGTGTTGCAGCCAGTGGCACAGGGAACATCTCACGAGTAGAAGGAAAAATGGATTCAATAAAATTTCAGCAAATTTTGGATGGTAACTTGATGCCATCTGTGAAAAAGCTGAAGTTAAAGAGAGGATGGCTTCTACAAATGGATAATGATCCTAAACACACCTCGAAATCCATGGGGGATTACATCAAGAGGCGTAAACTGAAGGTTTTGCCATGGCCTTCACAATCTCCTGACCTTAACATAATTGAAAATCAATAGATAGACCGTAAAAGAGCAGTGCGTGACAGACAGCCCAGAAATCTCAAAGAACTGGAAGACTTTTGTAAGGAAGAATGGGCAAAGATACCTCAAACAAGAATTGAAAGACTCTTGGCTGGCTACAAAAAGCGTTTACAAGCTGTGATGCTTGCCAAAGGGGGCAGTACAAGATATTAACTCTGCAGGGTGCCCAAACTTTTGCAGACGCCATTTTTTGTTTTCTGTTATTTTGAAAGTGTAAATGATGGAAATAAAATCTAACTTTTGTTGACATATTATAAGAATGTCTAATCTGTAACTTGATGCCTTTTGGAGATTTTTCCATCTTTCCTTGGCTTCTTTATGCACATTAATACAAATTTTTAGCTGGGGTGCCCAAACTTTTGATCCCCACTGTATATATATATACACATATACATATATATATAAAATACAGTTGTGCTCACAATTGCCAGAAAGAAGCCTTTGCCAATGCTACAAAAACTCCAAGTTATAATATGCCCAACAACACCCTGAAAGGCCTCACTGGGCTTTTTATTGGCACTGGCACAGTAAAGGCTTCTTTCTGGCAACTCGACCACGCAGCTCATTTTTATTCAAGTATCATTGCATTGTTTTACTTAAAAATAGCAACACCGTCTTGTTCCAGAGCAGCCTGTATTTCTCCTGACGTTACCTGTGGGTTTTTCTGTGGGTATTATGACAGCTGTGGCTGCAGTCTTTCTTGGTCTACCTGATTTTGGCTTGGTATCAAGAGATCCCTGAATGTTCCACTTCTTCAAGGCTCTGGATATCTTTTTTATATCCTTTTCCATCTTTATAAAGTTCTATTATCTTGTTATGCAGGACTTTTGAAAATTATTTACTGCTCCCCATGGCTCAGTATCTAGCCTGCTTAGTGCATCCACGTGAGAGCTAACAAACTCATTGACTATTTATACACAGACATTAATTGCAATTTATAAATCCACAGATGCGGAACATTGCCCTTTAATTGCCATTTTAACCTGTGTGTCACCTTGTGTCGGTACCAAGGCCAAACAGTCTGGGTTATGGAAACTTTAGATCAGGGCAATTTGGTTGATTTCTGTTATTATGATTTAAAAAGGAGCCAAATGACTGATAATAAATTGCTTCATATGATCACTATCCTTAAATAAAAGACAGGTTTTTTTGGCATGATCAGTAAAATTTTCAATATCAATCTCAATCAGAAAAAGAAAGCTTTAAAGCTCATCACCTAAATGACTCAGTTAAAACTAAAGGGCTAAATGGGCTAGTAGACACTGAAGTCAGCACACTCTAAAAACACCATTAGGAAGAAGATAAGTAACCTGATAGCGACACTCCCTATGGAGCTTAGAGTGGAAACAGGAAACCACTGAGCTATAGATTGTTAAAGAAGGTTCCTGAGAAGTGATATTCATTTATTTGAGGGGAGGCTGCTTTCCATACACAGCACAAGGTGAGAAAAAAAAAATAGCTAGAGACCTGACTACGTACTGAACAGTAAATGATCTACTTTGTATCAGCCTAATGCCCTAGCTAAAGCTCCACAAGAGACAAGGCGCACTGGCTAAACCAAATTAGCTCAAGTGATGAAATAATTTATCTAGAGGATTCAGAGTAATGATAAGTAAAGAATTCTGAGATCTGATTTTCTTAGAACGATAAGTGATCTGGGTGTTCTTAAGGCTTAATCATAATGGATGCAGGTCTATCAACCTGATTGATCGAACCAATTAACAAATATAAAATAAATTAGCTTTCCACAGAAAAACATCATTTTATTCTTGCTTACTATGAAACTAATCAGTTGATAAATTCATGCATGTTTATTTTTGTAATTAACAAAATAATTTCACAAAACAAATGGACTATACGTACTTAGTTTACTGAAAACTGGAATGGTTTGTACTTTAATTCTTTAAAAAAAAAAGATTTTATTATTTTTGGAAGGGCTCATTGCATATTTTCAATATTATAGATTGCACTCGACGTGCTAAGAATATTCTGCAATGTTTTATCTGTTCATTATTCATTGTTAGAATTTTATTACCTGAATTAAAATATTTTGTGAGGCGTCTTAAAATTTTAGGTAGATGATTAAACTTCTCTACCACAAATTATTGTGCGCTACTCAAAAAAAACGACATATATAGTGATAATATGAAACCAATCATAAAAACAATCCATGTGAAGCAAGATAAAAACTCTGCATTTATACACAACAGATAAACAACCAAAAATCCATATTATGAAAGTGATTAAAGTAAGTCCACACAAGTGCTGTGATGAAAATCAGTCCAAAGACAACAGTATCAGTGTATTATGCTCCACCCAGGGGCGGACTGACCATTTAGAAACTCGGGCACTGCCCGAGGGCCCGGGGTCAGTAGGGGGCCCCATGAGATGCCCCTGGTACCTTTTTCATAGGCTTTTTTGAGTTTGGGCAAGGACACAGGAGCCCCATGATCCCCTATTGCCCGGGGGCCCCATGAGTTGTCAGTCTGCCCCTGGCTCCACCACACATAGATGGCCTCTTACCAAATGATTTGATCTCGATTTCAGAGATCAATACCTGCTTGTGTGTGTGTGCCCCTGCACAAGATCCACTGTGATGCACCATGTAGTTCCTTGTACCATAAACAGACACAGTTTCACTGGCACCCGCCAAAGAGAACTATGGGAGCCATAATAGGGTTATACCATTTAAAACTGCATATGAGCTGGATGGTTTTTGTATTAGGTCCCTTTCACGTTCCATTTTGTTTCATCAGTTCAGTCACTTTTTTCCCAAGAAAAAACTAATCAGATTACATCAGTTTTTCATCAGTTTACATCAGTTTTTCATCAGTTTACATCCGTTTACATAAATTTTTCATCCGTTTATACCCATTTACATTGTTTTTTCATCTGTTTACTTCTGTTTTTGTCTGTTTACATCCATTTTTCGTCCGTTCCGTTTTTGTTTTAATGGAAGAAAAATAGTTTTCTTCCGTTCAAAAAAATGGATGTTAATGCATGTGGATATTAACGGATGTAAACAGATGATCATCCGTTTACATCCGCTAGTCCATAGAAATACATAGGTGTCCGTTTTTTATCTGTAAACGAACAGATAAAAAACAGACATATACGGAACGCTCGTGTGAAAAGTGCCTTAGGCACTGGAGCTATTTAAAACAGACTGCTCTGCACATGTTCAGAAAGGACGGCTTAGCTAGTATGTAAAATCTGTCTGCCTTTTTTTTATAATAAAATGAATCACCAAATGATTTGATCTCGATTGCAGAGATCAGTATGTGCTTGTGTATATGTGCTCCTGCACAAGGTCCACTGTGATCCACCATGCAGTTCCTTGTACTGTAAACAGACACAGTTAGACTGGCACCCTCCAAAGAGAACCACGGGAGCCACAATAGTGTTAAATATGCTTTGTTATAAAAAAAAGACAAGTACTTACAAGATCCAAGAAAACTCGAGCATAAAACAAACAAGCTATGAATGTATTCACAGCATGCAATATACGTCACCAGCTAAGCCCCTCACAACATCTTTCGCCAATCAATGAGCATCGTTAGCGGTGTGCAGCATAGCCAGTAATCAAGGTGACAGATCTTATATACTAGCTGAGCCGTCCTTTCTGCACATGTGCAGAGCAGTCCATTTTAAATTGTTCCAATGCCTAATACAAAAAACATCTAGCTCATATGCAATTTTAACCACTTGCCTTCTGGGCACTTTCACCCCCTTCGTGCCCATGTTCAGCTTTCAGCGCTCTCACACTTTGAATGACAGTTGCGTGGTCATGCAACACAGTACCCTAATAAAATGTTTATCATTTATATGATATTTATTTAAAATGTATACAATGGGAACTGATAGGCAGCACTGATGGGCACTAATAGGCACTGATGAGGTGGCATGGATAGTCAGCACTGATGGGCACTGAAAGGCTGCACTGATGAGCTGGCACTGATGAGGCGGCACTGGTGGGCATTGATGAGGACACACTGACGATGCTGCACTGATATGCAGCAATTATCGGCATTGATAGGCGGCACTAATGGGCACTGAGAGGCGGCACTGACAGGTGGCACTGATGGACACTGATAGGCAGCTCTTATGGGTGGCACTGACTGGCGGACTGACTGACAGAACTGACTGGTGGTAATGACTGATGGCACTGATGGGTACTGATTGGCACAACTGCTGGGTGGCACTGCTGGGCAGCATTGATGGGTGGCACTGATGGGCACTGATGGGTGGCACTGATGGGCACTGCTGGGTGACACTGATGGGTGGCACTGATCATCAGGGCACTGATCATCAGTGCCCTGATTATCAGTGCGGATGTCCTCTGTGACATTTGCTGGTTAGTGGCAGTACTTTCCTCACGCTGTGACAGAGTGAGGAAAGTGCTGCCGAAAACTGGCAACTGTATTTACTTTGTGTTCTGCTGTGTCATTGGACACAGCTGATCACGTGGTAAAAGGCCGCTGTGATTGACATTTTACCTAGTCATGTGATCAGCTGTGTATGTAGGTCACAGCGATCACTGACAGCGCTGGGTGCACATCACTGGGGGTGTGCGAGGGGCACGTTCTGGGAGGACATCATATGACGCCCTCCCAGAACTGGACAACCGTGCTGTAGCCATCATTCAACTATAGCGCGGTTGTAAAGTGGTTAAGTGGCGTAACACTATTGTGACTCCCGTGGTTCTCTTTGGAGCGTGCCGGAAAAACAACCAGTGTCTGTTTATGGTAAGGAACTGCATGGTGGATCACAGTGGACTTTTTGCAGTGGCACACATGCACAAGCACATATTAATCTCTGCAATTGAGATTAAATCATTTGGTAAGAGGCCATCTATATGTGGTGGAGGATAATACACTGATACTGTTGTCTTTGATTGATTTTTTTTTTTATTCCATAGTTTATTTAGTGTGACTCCAACATGTTACAGGAAAATATAAAGAAATGCACACGCAGCATCAATCAGGTCATAGACACAGCTTAAACCAAAATACAGGAAGAAACAACATGGTAGAGTGCGACACTGTGGATAACATAAGCATGGCAAATTACGGCAGAGATATGCCTGTAGTACTCAAGGTTCAAAAAAAAATGTACAATATAGAAGGTAATACAGCTTACTTCCACCAAGTGAATATTGGCGTACTGGCCTAAGCATGGAGGAAATGAACCTTGCAGAGCCTAAACCAAAGCAGTACGCTATCATGAGGCGGTTGTAAATCGCAGTATAAGAGAAGATTTCGTGAGTACCATTGACTATCCTAGAGGAGATAAGCTAACCATATACCAAGTAATCTCTGGATAAAATGAAGACTAAGCCTGATCGAATCTAAGAGGTTGTCGAGGAAAAAAAAAAAAAGGGGAATTTAAGAAAAGGAAAAGAATGGGAGTCATAGTAGAGAGAGAGAAGAGAAAGAGGGGGAGAACAAAACTAGTAAAGGGAGAGGGAGAAGGGGGGATAAGAGGCAAAAAAAAAAAAAAAAAAAAAGGGGAAGCAAGGGAAGCGAAAGGTCCGGGCTGCGAAGTTTGTGTCAACAGTGTTATTGGAGATCATAAATGAGAGTGTCAAGAATTTCACTCACCAAAGCTAAGCAGGCAAATATAAATTACCGGCAAAAGAGGTCATAACCACACAGATTATGAGAGAACCAAGGGCATAACCAGAGGTAGGGTGAGCTCAATCAGGTATCCCGACCCATGAGAGATCCGAATTCAGGGTTAGTCAAAGTGGGTGGATTGATTTTTTATCATAGTAGTAGTGTGGACTTTAATCACTTTCATAATATAGACTTTTGTTTGTTTATCGGTTATATATAAATGCAGAGTTTTTATCTTGCTTCACACGGATTGTTTGTAAGATTGATTTCATATTATCACTATATAGTGTATGTACTTGATTTTTTTGAGTAGCGCACTATAATTTGTGGTAGATTGTTTATGGCACTGTCCAGGCTATTTTTGGTTGCAGCAATCAGTTTATAATATCAATTTTATTTCACCAAGTGCAGGGTATTCCACAGAGATGATTAAAACTATATGTTAATGCAGATATGTATCCATTTAAAAAAAAATATATATATATATATATATTTTCAATGCAATACATTTAGGTGCCCAAATTTGTCATCTTTTTAACCTTCTCCTAATCCTCTGCACCAAACCAATACTCAAACTAAAGCTGGCCATAGGCGACATAGTAAAAGTAAATAAAGCTCCTTATTTCGAACACCATTCAAGATTGTCAGGCAGGGTCATAACACTCAGAGATTTTTAAACCTGCCACAAAGTCTCCCTGCTAATAGATCCCAATCCTTCACTCACAGAACAGTGTACAGATAAAAGCAACATGCATGTACTGCTGTTAGCATCAGGTAATGATAATGGCTGGTCTAAGCACCTTTTCAGGTCAATGCTAAATGCTTTCAGGGAGATATCTGCCCAACTGAGCGAGTCATGCTTACAAGAGGGCTCACTATGGGTCACTAGCAGACACCGTTTGTTAGGACCATTTAAAGTATAACTTCTTAAAGTTTAATTCCTCAGTTGTTTCATCCTGTTCCTTTATGCCAGTGTCTACAATTTATTCTGCTTTCTCAACACCTCCCTTTGCATTCCATTTAGATGCATTTACAGCAGAGAGTATAAGGCTTGATTCACACTACTGGCTACTACTACAGTGCGTGCTTGATGCAACTTTGCATATGCAGTGGGGCCAAATCACACTGCAAATTGCACCCACGTAGTGCAGGAACCTTCTCCAAAGTTGCACTGTGCTGAATCATATTGATTAGAATACGCACCATTAAAAACAATGAGGTTTATTTACTAAAGGAAAATAGTCTGTGCACTGCAAGTGCAGTTGCTCTAGATCTGAGGGGAAGCTCTGAAATGAAGGGAAGCTCTGCTGATTTCTATCATCCAATCATGTGCATGCAAAATGCTGTTTTTTATTTTCCTTGCATATGATTGGGTATTCTTTGCAAAGTGAAGCTTTGCCTCATTTACTAATCTCTGGAGCAACTGCACTTGTATACTTGCAGTGCACAGTATATTTGCATTTAGTAAATAAATCCCTTTAAGGTTTTCTTTGTCATGCGATTCTGTACGACTCAAGTCGCATCAGAAGTCACACTATTGTTGAACGGTACTAAGTGATGATGAATGATGAGCCTGAGTGAAAGAGTACATCCACAGAAAGCCTTTAGAGCAGCTATTCTCAACTAGGGTTCCTCCAGAGGTTGCAAGGAGTTCCTTCAGCTGTGGCTAATTGGCCTCTTCTTTCATGGTGCCTGCATAGTCCCAGGGCCAATATCACATAGCATGTCATGACACCAATGGTCTTTTAACTATCTGGACAGCACAGTAGCTAAATGGTTAGCACTTCCGCCTAGCAGTACTAGGGTCATCGGTTCGAATCCCAACCACGGCACCACCTGCCTGGAGTTTGCATGTTCTCCCTGTGCCTGCATGGGTTTTCTCCGGGTACTCTGGTTTCCTCCCACACTCCAAAGACATGCTGGTAAGTTAATTGCCTCCTGTCTAAATTGTCCCTAGTATGTATGAATATGATTTAGGGACCATAGATTGTATGCCCCTTGAGGGTTAGGGACTGATGTGAATGTACAATATATATGTAAAGTGCTGTGTAAATTGATGGTGCTATAGAAGTACAGTAATAAATAAATAATAATCTGTAAGGGCAACATTTAGACCACTACTGTAAAGGCATCCTTCCTACTAGCCATGATGTAAAGGGCATTTTTCCCATTGACACCCAGTGAATTGGTGTTAGCAGCGGTTCCCCAAGGCCTAAATATGATTTCAAGGGTTCCTCAGGGGCAAAAAGATTGAGAAAGGCTGCTTTAGAGCATGTTGCTCCCTGATGACCACAGGGTAGTGAAGACTTTAGCTGCACTGTGCTGATTACTTGCTTGATTACTATTCCAGAAGCAGGTCTGAGAAAGTATTCACAATTTGATGGGCAGACTGCATAACTAAAGTCCAAACAATGCAGTGTCCAGATCCCTCCCTGGAACATACTGTACATGTCTAAAGGGTGCCCAGGGATGTATTCTTTCAGCTTTGCAATCAGCAGGAAGTTGATGGATCATTCCCAAGCTGGTTGTTATGAAGAGCCAAAAAAAACAGTTGCCACAGATACAGGACTGAGGATATGAACACTTTTTCAAAGTAAGAAAAAAATATTTCAGCAATGTTTTGTGCAATGATTAATGTTGTATAATGAATGAAGGAATAAATATGAAGTGTTCCTTTAAAAACTATGGTGGGAATAGGGCAAAGATCTCATAGCTGTACCACCATACCATCTTTTTATTCATCCAACACAAAAAATATATGCAAAGAGCAAAGTGAAAGAGTCAGAACTAAAGGGGTTGTGGATTCACAAGTCCCAGAATGCAAGGACAGAAAATGCTATTTATTGAAGGTGTGAAGACACCATTACACTTCCCTCTGTCCTCTACGCAGTTTTACAGAGTTAAAGGAGAAAATGGAAAAACATTGACTGATTTGAGGGCTGAGATTGAGGATAGATTATGATCTGAGCCTCCATAGACACAGCAATTACATATAGGGTCCAAGAGGCAACAGAGAGAGATTTGATGTTCAACCTTTATTGACAGAATCACCTTAAGCTGAGGCTTTAGGGAAAGAACTGGGATTCTGTCCTAAGGCTAAGATGGAGAGATTTGTTTGGGGAAAGGATTTATATAGATTTTACAGACAGATTTGAATGGAATGAATGTTTATCAATCTGGTAGGCAAATATATGGAAATCTTATTACCTAGAAGTGATCTGTGAGATTGTATCCTCAATAATTTGTCTTAGGGAAAAAAGTAAGGGTGTTAGGGTTCAGATCTGAACCCAGGGCCTCTGCTGTTTCTGGCCATGGCTCCATGTGTGCTCCTCAGCACAAATTGGTGGGGAGGACCACACCTAGAAGGAGCAGGGCACCACTGCAAGAAAAT